GGGGTCGCTATGAGTCGGAAACGACTCGACGGCACTTAACAACAACAACAACAACAAGTTTACAAGGTCACAATAAATTGAAAGTACATAGATTACATTGTGATACCTAAGTATTAGATATTAATGCAAAACACATTTATTGAGCACCTACTCTGTGCAGGGCACAGCCTGGATATATTTAAACAATTTAAAAAACTTGTTGATTAGTGGATTTGTCCATTGTTTATTTGCTCATTCAGTCATTCGGCTTTCATCATGCACCCTATATATATATATATATTGACTGGGGTCAACCATAGAAACAATTGTGAGGATGGTTAAGACCTAGGCAATGTTTTATATATATATATTTTTATATATATATTTGTTTGTTTATTATGTATATATACTAATATATATTTATATATATAATATATATATATGTGTGCTTGCTGAAAGTAAAGACTTGAAGCACTTGCTAATGAAGATCAAAGACTACAGGCTTTAATATGGATTATATCTCAATATAAAGAAAACAAAAAATCTTCACAACTGGACCAATAAGCAACATCGTGATAAAAGTAGAAAATATTGAAGTTGTTAAGGATTTCATTTTACTTGTATCCACAAATCAACACCCAAGAATCAATAGTCAAGAAATCAAATGATGTATTGTGTTGGACATTCTACTGCAAAAGACCTCTTGAAAATGTTAAAAACCAAAGCTGTCACCTTGAGAACTAAGGTGTGTCTGATCCAAGCCATGGTATTTTTAATCACCTTACATGCATGCAAAAGCTAGATGATGAATAGGGAATACAGATGAAGAACTGATGCCTTTAAATTGCAGTGTTAGTGAAAAATACTGACTATAACATGGCTTGCCAGAAGAACAAATAAATCAGTCTTGGGAGAAGTATAGCCAGAATGCTTCTTAGAAGTGAGGACGGTGAGACTTTGTCTCACCTACTTTGGTCATGTTGTCAGAAGGGACTGGTCCCTGGAGAAGGATATCATACTTGATAAACTAGAAGGACAGCAAAAAAGGGGAAGACCCTCAACAAGATGGATTGACACAGTGGCTGTGATGATAGGCTCAAGCATAGCAAGAATTGTGAGGATGGCGTAGGACCAAGCAGTGTTTTGTTCCGTTGTACAGAGGTCACTATGATGAAGCCAATCCAGCTGCATCTAACAACAACAACAGAGTAGAGCATCAGTAAAAAAGAGGAAGACCCTCAACAAGATTGAGTGACACCGTGGCTGCAACAATGGGGTCAACCATAGAAACAATTGTGAGGATGGTTAAGACCTAGTCAGTGTTTTGTTCTGTTGCTATGAGTCAGAACCAACTTGATGGCACTTAACAATAACATATGTAGCAGACCCAGTGCAAACCTGTGGAGAGACTGAGGTGGAAAGGCCTCTTCCCTCACTGAGCCCACCTACCAGTTAGGAAAACTGCATGTAAATAAAGGAACACAGTGATGGAAGTACGTTTATATATAGGAGCATACAAGTGAGTTGGCTTTTACCTGGACGATCTAGAAAGGCTCCATAGATGTTGCTTACAGTTGTTCTTTTCTACCCCTCCCACACAGACATTTTCTTAGATGAGAAGGAAATAAAGAAAACAGTTGATATATTAACAGGGTTTTGCTTTATTGATTGATTGGTTGCCCTTGGGTCATTTTACAAATGTCCTGGTGGCACAGTAGTTGATCCCTCAGCTTCTAAGCAAAAGGTCAGCAGTTCAAAACCACCAGCCACTCCGAAGGAGAAAGATGTGGCAGTCTGTTTTTATAAAGATTTACAAACTTGGAAACCCTGTGAGGCAGTTCTACTCTGTCCAATAGGCTTGCTATGAGTTGGAATCCACTCGACAGCAATGGAGTGGGTTGGTCAAGTTACAAGTAATACCTTTAAAAATAGATTAACAAATCAAAGTCCAATAAAATGCATTAAGTTATATCTTTGTGATTTTAAATGGGATCTGTGCTATGTACAGATGATAAGCAACTAACACATCCTCCACAAGAGGCTGTTGTTTAGAAGCGAACAAGGGAATACTGCATGGTTCAAAATCAAGAAGGGAGTGTGTCAAAATTGTATCCTTTCACCATACTTAGTCAATTTGTAGGCTGAGCAAATAATCAGAGAAGCCGGATTATATGAAGAAGAACATGGCATCAGGATTGAGGAAGACTCATTAACAACCTGCGATACATAGATGACACAACTTTGCTGAAAGTGAGGATGATCTGAAATTCTGATGAAGATTAAAGACTACAGTCTGTAGTATGGATTACACCTCAATATAAAGAAAACAAAAATCCTCAACTGGTCCAATAATCAGCTTCACAGTGGATGGAGAAAAGATTGAAGCTGTCAAAAATTTTATATTACTTGGTTCTACAATCAACACCAATGGAAGGAGCAGTGAAGACATTAGACAATGTATTGCATTGGACAAATCTGCAAAAGACTTCTTTCAAGTGATGAAGAGCAAAGATGTCTCCTTGAAGACTAAGGTGTGCCTAACCCAAGCCATGGTATTTTCAGTCACCTCTTATGCATGTGAGAGCTGGACAATGAATAAGGAAGACCAAA